TGTTGGTGGTGTTTTGGATGATGGCTATTCTCACAGGGGTGAGGTGGAATCTTAGTGTGGTTTTGATTTGCATTTCCTTTATGGCCAGAGACGGTCAGCATTTTTTCATGTGTTTTTTGGCCATTTGAATTGCTTCTTTTGAAAAAGTTCTCTTTAGTTCAGTTGCCTATTTCTTAATTGGTTCATTGACTTTAGGAGAGTTTAGTTTCTTAAGTTCCCTGTACATTCTAGTTATCAGGCCCTTGTCTGATGTATAGCTGGCAAATATTTTCTCCCATGATCCAGCAATCCCACTCCTGGGGATATACCCAAAGGAATGCAACACAGGTTACTCCAGAGGCACCTGCACACCCATGTTTATTACAGCATTTATAATTATGGAAACAACGAAGAGGCCCCACTACTGATGAGTGGATCAAGAAAATGTGGTACTTGTACACAATGGAATTTTACTCAGCCATGAAGAAAAATGAAATATTATCATTTGCAGGTAAATGGATGGAACTGGAGAACATCATTGTGAGCGAGGTCAGCCAGGCTCAGATGACCAAAAATCATATGTTCTCCCTCATATGCAGACTTTAGATCTAGGGCAAATGTTGTTGGACTTGGATCACAAGACAAGAGGAGAACACATATGGGAGATATAGGAATAGGTAAAAAACCCAAAACATGAAAGCATTTGATGTCCCCACTCCAGAGGAACTCATACAGAAACCTTAAAATGACAGGTTATCACTAGCAGGGGATCAGGAACCAGTGTAAAGATCAGTTAGAGTTGAATCAACATGGGTCGTAACACATTTGTACATGAGAGCAATAGTAGGAATCTTTCTATATAGCTATCCTTAACTCAACTAGCAAAAATGCTTTGTCTTTCTTTTTATGCTTATGTCTTTTCTTTAACAAAATCAATCACAAGGGCAGAACGGGACCTGCTTGAAACTGAGGAGGGGAGGGGGCCAGGGTGGAGAAATGACACAAACAATGAATGCATATGTGAATAAATGAACAAAAAAATAAAATAAAATAAATTTCCTTTGAAAAATCTCTTTCAGTTTATTTTCCCATTTCTTCACTGAGTCATTGATTTTTTGGGGGAGGAGGTAGTTTTTTGAACTCTGTGTGTATTCTGCTGGTTATTAGTCCCTTGTCAGTTTTCTAGCTGGCAAATATTGTCTCCCATTCTGTAGGCTGCCTCTTCTATCTGGTGACCATTTATTTTGATGTGCAGAGGCATTTGAACTGAGCTATCATTGTTGGACTTGGGAGTTCTCACTGATTAATCATTCTTTCAAAAGGTTCAGAGCTCAAAAATAGGTGTTAATGGTTTGTCCATTATTTTCCTACTTCTCATTCTATCTTTCAAGGAGTTATAATCCAGCTTAGAGATGGCCAGAGTCTGTATAACTAGTCAATAATTTCACTAAGCAGTGCAGACTATGTATAGCAAGATCCACCACACCCTAAGTCACAGGAAAATATTGAATTTTCATATTTTAAAAATCTTTATTTCTGAGCTGGTGCTCTGGTTTTGAGCTTTTATCTTCCCCCAAAACCTTCTCAGTTGAAATCTTGGTGCCTAACTGAAGGTGCTATTTGGAGATAATAGAAACTTTAAGAGATGAGTCCTAGTGGGAGTTAATTATTTAATTGAGGGTGTGCTCTTGAAGTAACAACTTTGTCATGATTACTTCCACACTTCCACTCTTTTTACTTCCTAGCTGCTGAGGTGAGCAGCTTTCCTCCACAACATGCTTCTTCTGTGATATTCTGCCCCTATACAAGCGAAAAAGAACCAGGCCAAGTGACCATGGCATGAAATCTCTGGTTAAGTTTGAACAACAATAATACTCTTTCTTTCTTTGAAGTTTTTTAATTCAGGCATTATGTCACAGAGATAAAAAGCTGAGTAATATAGATATTCCATAAGAATATGGGACAAGGGTGTCATGTGATCTTCTGAGAGCAGAGTGAATATCCTTAAGACTAATCTCTATCCTAAGAATACCCCCTGACTTTCATGGACTGGAGATATTCCCAGATTTTATAGACAATATTTATGAGCCTATAAAAACATGGGATCTGCTTTCTCTTGTTTGAAATGGCTGACTGCTTTCCAAGGCTGTTCCAGTTCTCTCAGCTCTACATGATGGGGTCAACTCTGAGAGTCTATGTTGTTATGTCCTTCATCTATGTGTCCAAACCCACCCACAGCTGGTAGTTACCTCATCCTTTTCAAGCATCAATTTCATGGCTGTTTTCAAACATTGCACAATTTCTAGTTCCTGGGCATACAAAGAAGTGACGGACAACAGCTTACAAAACTAAATTTTAGGGAAACTCCTAGATGTACACACTGGGAGACCATATTTATATTGATATAGCCTGGTAAGGAAAGAGGAGACTTAGAAAAATTATTTTCTAGTGCCATAAATAGAAATCTAGGCAACAATCTCTCTATAATAGACTACCTGTGACAGGAAGATAAAGCCTGAGAGTCTACATCCTAGCCCCCAAACCTGTCAACATGTTAGACAAAGAGGAAATTAAAAGTTGCTAATAAGCCAACCTAAAAATAGAAAGAATGTCCTTGATTATCTGGGTTTGCCCAATGTTAGCACAAAGGCCTCAAGGAAGTGGAATGGACACCAAAAGAGTCAGAGTCAAATGAATGTGTGGTGACAAAAGACAGGCACAAACACTTGCATCAGTGCTGATTTTGAAGATGGAGGAAGAGGCCCATTAGTCGAAGTGTTTGAGTGGCCAATACAAGCTGGTATAGGAAATGGAGAAATTCTCTCATGGAGCCCCCAGAAAGGAACACAGCTCTGTAAATTTGTTACAACTGCGACAGAAATCATACTACCTTCTGTCCATCTACCTGACTTTTACTCTTACCAAATTCCCATTCTTCTCTACAGGAGAAAATTAAAATCCTCATATCTGATCCTTCCCAACCATTGCCATCCTGATTTCCTCAGTTCCCCCAGGACCAGAAGAAGTAGACTATTCCTACTATTACTACATCACCACATCTTGCTTTTAGCAAATAGCAAGCTCAAAACCCTCTAGTCATGAAAATAAAGAACAGAACTCAGTTTCTAAAACCTAGTGAAAGATATCACTAAGAAGGACATGAATGAATTTTGAATATATACTCTTTAAGACTATCTTAATTTAAAAAATCAAGTAGTAGTTTTTTTCTTATCTCAGGAGGTCATAGAAAGAAATATGTTGGAGGAGGAAATTAAATTCTTGGTGTTAACTATTTGCAAACATTTATCCCATTAACCATGGAACTTCCTCTGGACATTTTTCACAAGGTAGGCTATGAATTGGAAATCCTGTTCTCAATTCATCTGGCTAAAAAAATTATATAGACTGTAATTCTCTACAATGCAGGTCACTCTGGAAATTAGTAGGGTTTTGTTCTTGAGACAATAAAAGTATGTAGATGAGAAAGTCTATATATTGACATTTAGCAAACTTACAGCCACACAGTGTGTATGGCACATTTAAGAAGTGAGAAAGCTAAGCTAGACCAGGGTGGAATGGAGACAGTAACTTTTACAGAGATTCTGCAGTCACAGGAAGTGATCAACTTGGATTGGAGTCCGCACAGCTGTAGGCACAGTGCAGATCAGGTACAGGAAATGGATTCTGAAGAAACTGGGTCCAAAACATATTGCACCTGAAGCCAGTTTGTCCCACCTTGATCTTTGAGTAATAGGATTCAACAAATTATTACTATGAATAAAAAAAAACAGTATCAAACATATGCAGAAACTTATTGCACATATTCGCAAGATGACATCTAGGAAAGTAATAAAAATAGAGTACAGACTTACACAATAGCCTGACAGAAAACCGTTTAGGTAAGGAAAAAGTTAAGTTATGTTATTTAATTATGCATTGATCAAACATGCCTGATCTTTTGATGTAGGTGTCTATTCTAGGAAATACAATATTTAATTGGTATCTGTGGGTAAAGAATTATGTGTTCTACAGTACTACTTAATAAATTAAAAGCATTTATAAGAACTTAGAATGTTCATAATTATTTTCAATAAAATATGTTACATTTGTTTGTTTTTAATTATTAAATTCTGGTAGCTTTCAATGAGTACAATAGAAATACTTTATTCTTCAAAAGTAATAATTCTCATTTTTAATTCTTTAGGAGGGTATGAATTCTCATATTCACTTTATCAATATTCCTTTAGTTTAAATATTTTTTGGATAATTAAAGATATTTATTGAAGAGAACATTTGAAGAAGAACTTACTGAGGAAATATTTAGTAAAGCGACAGAGGTCAATAGGAGAAGGGGATCAGGAACTAGAGAAAAGGTAAGTTCTAGGAGAATCAACTTAGAATGTAACACATTTGTACATGGAAACAATGCTAAGAATCTCCCTGTATAGCTATCCCTATCTCAACTAGCAAAAATGCTTTGTCTTTAGTATTGTTTTTACTCTCTCTTCAACAAAACTAGAGACAAGGACAAAACAGTTTCTGCCTAGAAGCGAGGAGTTTGGGGGGAGAGAGAGGGGGTAGGGGGCAGGAGGGAGAAATGACCCAAACATTGTATGCGCATATGAATAAATGAAAAAAAAGAAATATTTAGGAGGGTATAAATATGTTTTATACAAAGAATTTATAAGTCTTCCTATAGAAGAATATATATTGAAAGAGTCTTAAAATATAATATCTGTAAATCCAAGAGTTCATTAAAGTTACAATGACAGTAATTTGATTATTTCAATTTCATTTTTGAGTATGGATTAAGCAACAAATACCTGGGGTTTGAACTTAAAGTCCTCAGTAACTCTTGGATGGTCATAATAACTTATTAGACAAGCATGTATAATCGAAGTTTTATTTACTTTATTTAGCAACATATGACCTCTCTACCATGTGCAAAATACTTGACCATATATTACAATGGATTTTAAAAGGGGAAAATAGAACCATGAAAGTTTTCTGGAAAATAGTTATTATTTTATTAACTTTCTCAATGCACCTAAAACTTCATTATTTCTAAGGCTATAAATAAATGGGTTTAGCAGAGGAATTATAATGGTGTAGAACAGCGAATACATTTTATCCTGATATTTATCTGGGCCAGACCCAGGACGCACATACATGAAGAAAAGAGTGCCATAGAACAAAGACACAGAGAGTAGATGGGCACTACAGGTGGAGAAGGCTTTGCTTCTGCCCTTCTCAGACTTCTTTTTCAGGATGGCAAAGAGGACATGGATATAAGAAATGATGATACTCATGAAAGTAATAGCTTGTGTAAAAGCAGCAAAAATAAAAGCCACTAATGCATTAATAGATGGGTCAGTGCAAGAAATTTTATATAGTGGCAATATTTCACAGTAGAAATGATCTATTATGTTGGACCTACAGAAACTTAATCTAAATAATAATCCTACATGAATTATGGGGTGCAGAAAACCAATTACATATGATACACTTATCAGCCAAGTGCAGAGTCTGTTGGACATCACCACTAGGTAGAGCAAAGGATTACATATGGCTACATAGCGGTCATAGGCCATCACTACCAGGAGCAAACATTCTGTGGTTGCACTGTAACAAAAAAAATAAAATTGGGTGAAACACTCAAATACAGATATCATGTTATTCTTTGTTAAAAAATTCATAAGCATCTTTGGAGTCACTGATGATGAAGTACATGCATCTGCAAAAGCTAAACTGCTAAGGAAAAAGTACATGGGGCTGTGAAGGTGGGTGTCCCTCCAGATGAGAAAAATCAATCCAATGTTGCCTACCATGGTGGTGACATAAATCAACAAGAACACCAGGAACAGGGGAACTTGCAGCTCTAGACGATCTGTTATTCCTTTGAGAACAAACTGAGTCACTAGAGTCTTGTTTGCCTCCATCATATTCCCTCTAAGTGCTCACTGCAATGAGAGAAGGATAAAGTAAAAATTGTCAATATTCATGCAAAATAACATTGAATGCAATATCACACATGCTGCTAAATCAATAGATATGATGGGTAAACATATGAAGTACTTTATACTATGAACTATAAGGATTTTTAAAGTATTTTACTGTAAATTATGTAAATAATGTGATATCTTATACAGAATTAAGTATAAAAATAATTATACACTTTATATCAAATGTCTTAAAACATAACTAGCTCAAGAATGTCTTTTAATATTCCAGGCACACATGATTCTTTAAAGATTTTTAACTTTCTTTTAATATTCTTCTCTATAACATATTATGAGGCCACAGTGGAATATACCATTACAAAAGTAACCACTGTAGAAAAAAAGGCCAAAATTTTCAATACCTAGATTCAACTTAATTGCTAAAAATTTATAAATCTTATTAGAAATCATATCTTCCATACAGAACAAACTGGAATATAGTATTTGTTATTATATATGTATGTGTATATATATATTTTTTCATTCTAATACATTAATAGGTCAGATATAAGATGGTAAGTTAAAATCTTATGCTATTTTCCATTCCTTATTAATATGCTACTTGATTGTACACTCATCATTACCATAACATGTTCTTCTCAATAACAATAGGTGAAAAAAATCATGAACACATTTAGTTACTTACTTAGTACCTTCTAACTTAGAACACTATCATTCTTAGCTTAGTGACAAAGAATCTATAACTCAGATTATGTATCCAGGATGCTAAAATAGCCTAGATTTTAAGACAATGCACACACACGCACACACACACACACACACACACACACACACCCCATAATTCTAACAACTTGTTTGTAAAATAAAGACAAGTTCCTGAGTTATCACTAAATATGACAATGTATAACATTATTCAGTTAGCTAAGAATGTCTTTTAATATTTCAGGCACACATGATTCTAAATAGATATTTAACTATTTTTTAACTTTTTGTTCTATTAGATATTATGAGGCCACAGTGGAATACAGCATTACAAATGTAACCACTTTAGAAAAAGTATGCAATATTTCAAGGTCTTGTTCAATTTAAGTACTAAAAATTTATAAATTTTATTTTAAAAAAATGAAGTGAGGAGTAAAACTGATATATATTAATAGGCAATGACAAAGATAAAGATGAGTGAGGCAGAAGGCAGCCTCAAGCTAAAATGTATCCATGAGTTTAATGAACCTGGGAAGTAAGGAGAAGGATAGATTCCACAGAACCCAAGAGTAGGGGTTGAATCCAAATCAAAATCACCACAACGTATTTTTTTCATGATAAATATGCATGATTCAAGACATAAAAGTTTTATGTATCCATATCACTTCATTGGTGATCTAAAATAAGAGCTACCCACTTCTAAACATCAGGCTTAATGTATAACCATTCAAAGAACTTCATGAAAATCTTGGATTCACAACTCCCAGTTCTTGAGGCAAGCCCTGCCATGTGGGTATCCTCCCAACATATGTTTTACTTCTATACCAGTGGATGATTCTTTTTACACTTAACTAAAGTCTTCACACCCAAGTCTGCCATGACCTGAAACTAGTTTTCTCAAAGCTTCTGATCTGTAAGCCAAAAAAAAAATCATGGAAAATTAAAGTAGAATCCACAAAATACACTTCCATAAAGGATATTTTTGTATCAGAAAATATCTATAGAAGGCCTGGAATATGTTATATCGAAAGGCACCTCTAGTTTTTTTTCTCTCTAGAGAAGCTTTTCTATAGAAAAGGGAATAGGGAAAAAAAGAAATTTTTCTTGGAGTTGTTATTAGGCATTAAAACACACAAAGAGAGAAACTGGTAATGTTTCCAGTAATTGTTGAATAAGCACATTACTTTCAAATGACCATAAATGCCAGATTATCCTTATTTTACATCTATTCAATAATGAACCTGACTCTGAAGCTGTAATGAACTCTTCCAATCTGCATTTTTCCAGGCATGCTGTAATAAACTGATGACCTCATGTGGAGGAAGGTGTAGACTCACCTGAGACACCACATATCTATATGATCCTCAGTTATTGGGAAATCTTCCTAATTCTGGAAGATTACAAAGTAAATTAAATGAAATCAGAATGAATTTTTCTTTTGAGGACACTAATAAAGTATTCAACAGATTGGTTCTGTAACATTTCTTAACAAAGGATTTGTTAACTAAGATGTAACAAGATTTCACAATCTGATCTCAGTTCTACCTCAGAATTATTAGGTTATTTTCCTAAACCAGTTTAGGAAGCTTGTTTTAAGGTTTTCACTGCAATCTGCTGTATTTTCCAAATGTATTTCCACCAACCATCTATAACAGTTGCTAACCAGAATAGTATGGACCTTAAGCACACCAGTTCTATAATTCATTCACATGATTGAGTTCAAATCTTTATTTTACAAACATGTAGCTGTGTATACATATAGATTAAAAGGAATTGTAAAAGATGCTTTATCTAACTTTCCCAGTGCAGAACTGCATTTGATTACATTTGGTAAATAAATGCCCTGAAACAATACCTTTTGCATATACTGGTAGCTCATGAGAAACTCTTGGTACTAAAACTATGCAACTTCACAGAATCTAATTACAGTAAAATAAAATATTGTGCTCTCACCCAATTCCCATAAGAAGAGATATGGATAGGAATGCCATAGATTTAACTCATCATGAAGAACGCTTCAGGTGCAAGAAGGAAAATATCAAAGATGATTGCTATTCTCATGTTAATTTTCTTTTGAAAAACATGAAAGATATTTATTCCTCTCCCATCTTCAACCCTAACTGTGAAACTAATACTGAAACTCCCTCAATGTTACCAAAAGACTCCCGCAGGGTAAAGGAATCCTGCTGGGCATTATAGACTAATCAACAAATTGTTACTAACAAACTTATTATAACTATTATTTTTCCAACTGTTTTCTTTCTTTTGAGAAATGAAAATATTATAGGTCAATTATAAGAGAAATGAAAATGCATATTACGTGGAGAATCTTTAGCTGCAACTAACTTGACATTTGACTATGAAAAATAAGAAGCATACTGCACATCAGGGGACATTTTTGCTAAGTGTTTATATATATAAATATATATGTTTGTGTGTTATATATGAATATGTGTATCAGTCAACTTTGTGGTAATTATTAAATATTCTCATAGCATTTGTAATTCTCATAGCTAGATTGTAATAATTCAACATCTAACAGTGGTGCAGTAGATAGTTTGAGAGCCACCATCCCACTGAGAATAATTTTGATTGAACTTTGTGATAATCCAAATAATCAATAATTTCTAACACAAAAAATAAATAAATTTAATGTGCTTCACTCTAATCAAATATCTGGATAGTTTTAAGATAGTGAAAATAAAGAAAACAAATAGTCATAATCTCAGTAGTCACCAATTAATACAGTTAACATTTTGGTGAATACTTCTACATTTTATCCATTTGTATATCTGTGTTTGTGTATGCAAAGCATATATATATATATATATATATAATTCTTGACTACGATACTATATAAGTAATTTTTCATTTAAAGAAATAATTTATCAATTATATGTTCCTAAGGTTTAAAAATATGTGTTTTTTTATCTTGGATAAACAAATCTCAAAAGAAGTCTGTAATCATAAAGTCCTACATTTGAGTGTGGTAGCTGTGTACATTTCATTCCAAGCTGTTTGGGAAGCTGAGCTCAGGAGGATAACTGCTCCAGGCCACCAAGCCAAAAGAGTTTTGCAAAAACACATCTCAACAAAAACAAAAACTAGGTATCAGGGCACATGCCAGTCATCCCAGCAAGAACAGAAAATATAAAATAGGAGGATCACAGTCCAGGTCAACTTTGGCAAAAAGTAAGACCTTATTTCAAGAATAACAAAGGCAAAAAAGATGGAGGCCTGGATCAAGTGGTAGAGTGCCTTCCTCATAAGCACAAACCCCTAAGTTCAAATCCTAACACCACTAAAATGTCTGTGATTGAAATAATATTTTCCAAATATGTTTATACTGTTAAGGAATTTTTTTTACAAATCTGCAATAAGCTCTGTGGTAAACTGTATCAATTTACACTTCAAATTTGGAAAAAACCCATTTCCCAAATTCAAACTAGCAAAAAGTAATAGACCGATAGATAGATAGATAGATAGAGACACACAGGTAGATAGATAGATAGCAGATAAATAGATGATAGACACATAAAAATACAATATAAATGCATAACTACAAAATATGTGTGGCCTATATGTATTGAGAAAATTGCAACATTATAAAGGATGTATAATTTTTAAATATTTATTGAAAATGAAAAAATTATAATTGTATCTATTGATGGGGTAAAATAGGATATCGTGACATATGTATGCAACTCATTTTTATTAATTATAATCACCATGCTTGTGTAACACATTCCTTCTGTCTAGCTTGAAACTTTCCATCCTTTAATCAACATCTCCTCAGGTTTTCATCACTTGGCCTCTGCTAGCTATCTGTCTACTCTCAGATTTTATGAGTTTTGGATTCCACATGTAAGTAAGAACATGTAGTATTTGGCTTTTTGCGCCTAACTAGTTTCACTTAGTATAATGTATTCCAGGTTCATTGTTGTACTTGTCAGAATTTCCTTCTGAATAGTATTCCATTCTGTTGTTCAGAGACCTCATTTCTTTACCCACTTCTCCACAGATGAACACATAGGTTTCTTCCATAACCTGGTTATTGTGAATAAAGCTGTAACAAACCTGGTAGTGCAGATACCTCTCCAAGGTGGTGATTTCAAGTTCCTTTAACTATATACTCAAAAGTGTGATTGTCAGATGATATGATGGTTCTATTTTAGTTTTTCAAGAACTTTCATAGTGTTCTCCATAATAATTTACTAATTTACATTCCACTAATAGTGTACAAAAGTTCTGTTTTTATCATTTCCTCAATACTTATCCTC